TGAGAACAATAAATTCTGTAATAATATTATTGATAATTATAGAAAAAATCTAATCCAATTTTTCTACATATACCGTCAAAATTCGGTCATCTGTAACAATTCAGTGTTGTTCTGCCCATGTGTAGGTTTCAATAAGGATAGTTTGTGTGTGGACTTTGTGGAAATATTGTCATGATGTGCAGCAACCAATCAGATAGCTAAAGAAAATGAAAAATATTGTATTGCAGCCTAAACAGAAGAAATCTGTGCCAATTGTTTATTTTAAAGTTAAGATTTCCTAAAACGTGGGAGAAACAGGCCAAATTAAAATTGTTATATCTTCCACAAATTTTCATTTCATAAGATTTTTTTGTAAACAATGCGAATATCCTCTTTAATCCCGGAACACTAAGCATATTTACTGGTATCTTATTACTAACTACAAGACGAATCAACTTGACAAACATAAATCTAGTATAATTTATAAATTTGTTTCATTTCCCTTGGTTTTCAAAGACTTATCCAAAATAGTCACGGTACCAATGATTAATATTGTATCAAAATTACAATTCTATTTTTGGCTAAAAAATGTCACCAAAAATTAAGGCTGGTATGATTTTAATCAAATGATTTTTTTAATCAATGATTTAAGTTATTTTTTCAAATATTACAAATAGTATATATTACGTTATAGAGATGAAAACTTAAATCAATTACATAGTTTATACAAAGAATAACATATTTCTTATAAACTTTTTCACATAATTGAATTTCGAGAAAAAATACAATGCAATATACATTAAAATGAGCATGCTTATGAAATGAACAATAAACATTTTGTAGTAGTTATTTACTAATGGACTTGGATGATATAATATTTTTTATCCAACATTTCATTGTCTGTAGATAATAGCAAATTTAGGAACAATACAGACACCGAGCTAGTTTCAAGAAAAACACGTTAAATCTTCAAGCATAGTTGTAATTCTAGATTTGGAGTAAAATATTTGCAAATGCCACATAAAGTATAACATCTTAGAGAAGATGAACATTAATAAAAATTGAATTTTATTGATACTCACTTCAAAAAAAATTGTTAAAACTAATAAAAACGATATTTAATCTTACTAATTTTAATAATGTTAACCTTTTTCCTTGTGTATATTGATAAAATACCATTTAAGTGCGAAGGAACAGGACAACTATTAAATAGAATTTAATATTTCAAAAACTGTCTAATATTGTTTTTTTTTTTAAGAAATCAGTTGTTTTCAACAGTAAGAGGATTTTTGAATCAGGTAATATTACAGAAAAGATGGTAATTTTTTTTTGGACAAAGAATACCTTTTTTCTGACCCATGCTAACTGGTGTCGCTACAAGCTTATTCAATAACGTGAACACATGAGAAGTGATGAAACTATAAGTATTCACATTTCAATATTTTGTGGGTTCAGGCGGTATTGCATCAGACCCCTCAAATGTATAGTATCTATGTGAAAAAAAAACAAAACTAAAACAAACAATAAGGAAATGATCAATTTAAAACTTCATGCATGGAAAACATTCATTGCATGAATTTTTTTCTGCTTTTAAAGTAATTAAGGATAAATAAATCACTATACAAGTTTGGTTTTAAGTAAACACATCTAATACAATATTTAAAAACATTATTTAAATCAAGTTAATATGAATCATAAGAAAAGCAGATAATACTCTTGAATAATCTCTACACGCGCCACAATTAATTCGCACAACCTTACTTTGAAAATGCGCGCCAAAACGCAACAGCTGCGCTATCTGCACCAGGTCCGGGACTGAGGAAACAAACTTAGTCCCCCGCCTTTTAACATTGAGTGAACCGGCCCTGGCTGCAAAGCGAGGAATGATATACGAAGTATAAGCTTTGGTACACAATTGTGTGATCTGTGATATGGGGCCGTAAACGTATAGTAACAGCAGGGTAGGGAAACTTGGCGGTGTAAAACGAGGTAATGATTTTTGCGCCATCTACAACAGTTCCGACGTGAGCCGAACTAAACGTGTGACGTCATGCATCAAAAAAGCTGGACAATGTAGGTGGTGTTTTGTTTTTCGTTACGTGCAGGCTGCAGCAGGTAGGTGCTCATTTTATCGAATTTTTTCAGCGTTTTGTTAGTATGTAAATGTCGTGCATTGTAAGTAAAGTGAATTATGTCGCGATATTTATTTGTCATGTCAAAAACTTTGTTTTCAGTATTTTGGCAGATGATATTAAGAAAACTGGTGCTAGACAAGTACATTGCTAGGATTTTCACCCTACCAGCAGTGGAGGTATTATAATTCATTTTGGAATCTTGTTGCATAATTGTAATTGATTATTTAATTTTGTGAACATTTACACCATGCAAAATAGTCTTAAAAATCCGTAAATCCATGTAGTATAACCTAACCTGTACATGTCATTTATTCTGTGCTATTTGTTTAAAAGTATTGTAGTTATATTATTTCGTATGGTATTGGACACGTTTTGTAATATGTTCATTGTATATCCATATATTCATTGTTTGCAATACCCTGGTATTAAAATGTCTAATTTTCAAATATACATAATTCATTATTGTTTGCATTTCTAGAATAGGTACACTCTCATTAATGTATGATGAAAATGTAATAAGTTTACTTGCTTAGGTGTAGCGAGTTATGTTTCCATTCTGGAGGTGATCTTCGAGTTGCAGTATGATACTGGCAAGATACAAACGAATTCGACTTCACTAACATTAGAAGATGGAATTGGTATCAACAGTGTTTCCTCCAAGCCAAGCCCTGTTGTCTTCTCAAAGAACATTTCAAGGAAATCTTATTAAAAGTGTGCCAGTGGAAATCTTTTTTTCCCTTGATGCTGCAAGTGCTGCTAGTCTCGATATTATAGACAAATATATTATTTCAGCAATATATATTTTGAATAATAATTGCCTTGTTTAGAAAACTTTCCTAACAAGCACTGGAAATATATTAATAAATAATCAAAACAATTTTGAATGTGAACAATTAAAAACTTTCGTTTCGAATGTGTAATAAAAAAACTGTGTGGTAATAAATAATATACCCAAAATATCTAACGTTATTTTAAAAATATTAAGATAGGTATAATACTTTTTTGGATATTTCACATACTTCAGTGCTAAGAAAGGTTAATATGTTATAGATTATTTTTAATTAAATGTAGCCAAATTTGAATTGCTAAATGAAACATCTGACAATTAAATCCTGTAATAATATTATTGATAATTATAGTAAAAATCTAATTTAATTTTTCTACTTATATCGTCAAATTCTGTCATTCGTACAATTCAGTATTGTTCTGCACATGTGTAGGTTTCAATGAGGATAGTTTGTGTGGTGGACTTTGTGGAAATATTGTCATGATGTGCAGTAACCAATCAGGAGCTATAGAAAATAAAAAAATTCTTGTATTGGTGCCTAACAGAAGAAACCTGTGGCCAGTTATTAATTTTTAAAGTTAAGATTGCCTAAAACTAGGGAGAAACTGGCCAACCTTAAATTGTTATATCTTCCACAAAATTTTTCATTTGATAAGATTTTTTTTGTAAACAATGGAAATTCCCTCTTTAATCCCAGAACACTAAGCATATTTACCGGTATGTTATTACTAACTACAAGACGGATCAACTTCCAACATAAAACTAGTATAATTTATAAATTTGTTTCATTTTCCTTGGTTTTGAAAGACTTACCAAAATAACAATGATTGATATTGTATCAAAATTACAATTCTATTTCGGCTATAAAGTCACCAAAAATTAAGGCTGGTATGTTTTCAATGATTTATAACAAATGATAACTTTTTAAAAATCATTGATTTAAGTTATTTTTTCAAATATTACAAATATTAAGTTTATAGAGATGAAGACTAAATCAATTACATAGTTATTAACAACGAATATCATATTTCTTTAAACTTTTTCACATAACTGAAGAATTTCCGAGAAAAAAAATACAATGTAATATACATTAAAATGAGCATGCTTATGAAATGAACAATAAACACTTTGTAGTAGTTATTTACTAATGGACTTGGATGATATATTAGTTTTTATCTAGCATTTCCATTGTCTGTAGATAATAGCAAATTTAGAAAAACAATACACACACTGAGCTTGTTTCAGGAAAAACACGATAAATCTTCAAGCATATTTGTAATTCTAGATTTGGAGTAAAATGTTTGCTAATGCACAAAGTATAACATCTAGAGAAGATAAGCATTAATAAAAAGGAATTTTATTGATACTCACTTAAGAAAAAAAATTAATATTGTAAAACTAATAAAAACGGAATTTAATCTACTAATTTTAATAATGTTAACCTTTTTTATTTGTGTAATATTGGTAAAATACCATTTAAGTGGGAAGGAAAGGACAAACTATTAAATAGAATTTAATATTTCAAAACTGTCTAATATTGTTGTAAGTTTTTTTGTGAAATAAGGTTGTTTTAAACAGTAGAGGATTTTTTTGGAAAAGAATGTCTTTTTTTCTGACCCATGCTGACAGGTGTTGCTACAAGCTTATTCCATAACGTGAACACATGAGAAGTGATGAAAAGTACTCACATTTAAAGATTTTGTGGGTTAGGGCAGTATTGCACCAGACCCCTCAAATGATAGTATCTATGTGAAAAAAACAACTAAAACAAACAATAAAGGAAATGATCAATTTAAACTTCATGTTTTCACTTTTTCTGCTTTTAAAGTAATTAAGGATAAGTAAAATCACTTTACAATTTTGGTTTTAAGTATAAACATCTAATACAATATTTAAAAAAATTATTTAAATGAAGTTAATTGAATCATAAGAAAAGCAGATACATACTCTTGAATATCTCTACACGCGCCACAATTAATTCGCACAATCTTAACTTTGAAAAGCGCGCCAAAACGCAAAGCTGCGCTATCTGCACCAGGTCGGTGAGTGAGGAAACAAACTTAGTCCCCCGCCTTTTAACATTGAGTGAACCGGCCCTGAGTAACAGATGGTATTGGTATTGTCAGTGGCAGGTCATCTTATAGAAAGTTTGTAGCCTTCGTAATTTTTTTTCCTATGTGATTGGCTGTGTAGTGATGGAAGAGATCAGTATTTTAACGGAAAGCATTATTAAAATAGAACCGGTAAGCATTTTCTGCCAATTTGCCACTATGTTAGTACGCGATTGTAGTAGTGATATTTAAGAACTCCAATGACTTAGAATAATGAGTTACGAACAGGTAACAACAACATTAATGAAGCTGAAACTCATGTAATGTATGCTTTAACTGCAGCATCTGGTATTAGCCTACATACTTCTACTACCTGCATTGTTTTTGTGTTAACTTTAGGTTAAAGAAGAACCAGTAGAAGTAAAGGAAGATGATTCCTGGAATGCCTTTGTGAGTAATGTTAGCATTAGTGGCATAATATAATTAGTGTTGTTTGGGAAATGGAACGTAATTGATGATTTGATATGTTGGCGATAAAAAGTACCAGCCACCAACTTAAGTGTGTACATTTTAATTTGGTGTTAATGCTAAGCTAGGTGATTCTGGAGGGATTTTTGCACTTGATACCTTGGTAAGGAAAGCAAATGCTATCTACCTTACTGCATCGAAATTGTCCTTGATATCGTGCAAATCTTGGTTGTAGAGATAAGAAAAGAGAAAAAAACATTACCATCACTGGATTGATGTGGCACGTTTTACATTTAAATGCACCATTAACCAAATTTCTAGTGAAAAGTTAATTTGATTTGAAATTTCATGAGTTTGAATTAGAAGTTTTGCTTATTGCTTCGTTAAATTTAACTGCTTTAATGGGTAATGAATAGGGAGCGGAGTTGATGACCTAAACATTGCCAAAAATGATCAATAAAATGCTTTAAAAATGCCCTAAAAACAAAGACAAAAGGCATAGAAAATTTCATTAATACTACTGGAGATAAACAACTCAAGCCGTTGGATATGTTACTGATGTAATGAAGTCTTCTTCCTTTTGTTTAAGTGAACTCGACTGGCAAACTTTTGGTTTGGACTGTTCTTTAAAAGAAAATTTCAGAAAATCATTTATCATGAAATTGGCCGAAGTAACAATGACTCTCATAGGCATCACAGGAACCTCAGATTACATAGTACTTACAGTCGCTGACATTACAATATGTGAGCGAAGAAGTTGAATAGGCTCCTCAGAAATTCTGTGGTAAAAACTTGTTGCTTCTCAAAAATACTGTTTAAAGCAAGTACCGTTAAAATGATATTAGAAACAATGAAATCAGCAAAAAATTATGTAAAAAGATAAAAAAAATTACATATTTGTCGAAATTAACAAAGAAAAAAAGGCAGTAATGGCTGATTTATATGAATGTATGTAAAAATGGGTCATTTCATTTTGTCATTGCATAAATAAATTTCTGTACTAAACAGCATTGTTCTGAAATGAAGAGACATTTGATTAAAATCTGCCCTGTAGTAATGAGTAATGACTTTACTAAATGTTGCTCATGCTTAATTATGTGTGTTCTAACTGCAGCAAATGTTAATGGCATTCATGCATCTAAATGATTGTTTTTGTGTTACCTCTAGGTTAAAGAAGAACCTATAGAAGTGAAGGAAGATAATTCCTGGAATGCCTTTGTGAGTAATATTAGCATTAGTGGTGTATTCTAATCACAGTATTTGGGTTAAAAGGAAAATAATTGATAATTTGACTTGTTTGGGATTAAAAGAATTAGCCACCGTTATGAAGGTGCAGATTTTTTAGCATTGAATCGTGCTTAGAAATGTGTGGCAAGATTTGCATTTCAATGCACCATGAACCATCTTCAAAGTGAAACCTTTATTTAATTGGAAGTTTGAAGTCAAATTTCATTTGATTTGAATTGGATGTTTTCCATTTTGCTATTTTAAATTTAACTGCATTAATTTGTATTTTAAGAAGTGTGTAGGTGAGACAGTATTCCTTGGTGTGTCGTTCAGAGATTTTGGATGGGGCATTCCTGTGATGTGAGTGTTATTTTGAAAATCTGCTTCTACCAAGATACCTTCTGTTTCTATTATCCTCAATTTATTTTCAAGTTGAGCCTTTTTTACAGCTATGTTGCAATAGCACTTTCTAACAGTACCTGGAAACTCATATAACTTTAAATCATTAGAACATGTTTGGGGAAAAAAAGGAGAAAAGAAATATGAGTTAAGTAAGCAAAACCTTTGTTTAATTGTTCTATAAATAATCAGTGTTTATCATTTAATATAATCACATCAACGTATTACACAATTATCAAGTTAGGTGTTATAAAAACAAATTCCGTTGTTTTTATGATTTTGATCTGTTTGTTTGGAGTTATCCTGAAAATGGCTAAATACATTTTGATAGGCTGTTGCTGTAATATAGAGCATTTTGGAAGGCATAAGGGCCAATATTTTCCATAGTTAATTTTCTATTATGTAAAGAACAAATTTTTTGTTTTTGTACCTAAAACTATAGTTTTGTTGTGATGTTATCGACATTTTGTACACCTGCTTATCTAAACTTGGGACTCGTTCTTTTTATTATGTTTATCAATGACATTTGTCATATATTTGATGGTGTGGAGTTTCTAATGTTTGCTGATGATTTGAAGATATTCTGTGTTATAAAATCATTAGATAACGAAATTAGGTTGCAGAGGGTGTTAGAGAAGTTTGCTAAATGGTGAGAGGTAAATGATGTAAATTTAATTCCTGGGAAGTGTAAGTCAATTTTATTTTCCAGAAGTAAAAGATTGTTTGATGGAGAGAATGTTATTAAGTCTATTGTTATTGATAGTACGTTTTTGATTTGGGACCTTGGTGTGATCCTTGCCTCCAGAATGTCTTTTAAAGTTCACTTGGAGTTTATAGTTAATAATGCAAATGAGATGTTGGGATTCGTGAAGCATAGTTGCAGAAACTGTGACTTTTGTGTTTGCTATTGATAAGAGCGATTCTAATACATTCTTAGATTGTCTGGTCACCATGTTTTGCTAATGCTATTTCTAGAATCAAAAACGTATGTAAGTACTTTAAAAAGTACATAAGTACTTTAGAATTGCCGTTAATAATATGGGGTCGAATAACTTATAAATATGGAGATACCTCCTTTTGCCAGAACTTGCCTTCACTTGCATCGTATATGAACTTTGTGGATGTCCTGTTTTTGTGGAAATTATTGGAAGGTAGTATTGATTGCTCACATTTGCTGAATATAGTTAATTTTAAGGTTCCTTCTGACATAACAAGAAACCACAAAAAAAAACACCTTTTTGTGAAGAGTTTTTAAGCTTTCTTAGACAGCAAATAACTCCATCACTAGAATTTAACATGTTGATAAATTTGATATTGTTCTTTTTATTGAGAGTGACACTAACTTGAGAATTGCATAGTAAAATACTGAAATTTGAATAATCAATATGTTATATTTTAGTTATTGTGTTTTTATAATTTTAGAGATTCTTTTTACTTGCTAATGTTTTTTATATGTGATGTACTATTCTGAGTATATCTTTCTTGTGTATACAATTGAACAAATTATCTGTTAACAAAAAAAATAATAAACGTGAACACATCATATACTTATGTAACTTATATCACATAACTTTCCTAACTGAATCCATGACAATATGTCACACAATTCTACCACAACTCTAGTAAATACAAATGCAAGTCAAAGAACATCACAACCATGAAATCAATACAAAATACTTGCAACCTAGGGTTTGTCCTAGCATCACATTATTATAATTTGTAATAAAAATATTGGGTTCGATCATCGAATTGAGTGTTTTGTTTGTTTTTGTAAATAAAGTTTGTGAAGAGTTTCAGTACCAAAAATAGTAGCGTCTTAAAAATAAAATTCATATTGTAGTACCATTTATGTGTAGATTTTTAGTTATAATTCATGTTATTAATAATATTCCACGAGTCTTCTTCAGTAGTTTGAGATGAAATATAGAATGACAGTTTTGTCTAAAATAGTATCTTTATCTACCTTCCATTGCTAGATCAAACGTTTCTGCCATTTGAGGCCTAATTTTAACAAAGAATTTATTAAAATGAATCACAATCATTATGTTATTCTTCAATTTTGTATATCCCATCATCAGACAAGGTTTTATTTTCAAGAACATTTCTCACATTTGTTTTAAGTAAGGTTTTGTTTATAAAATTCCACGTTTCATATATTTTTGATTTAAATTATGTAATTTTTCCATAATTAGCCATTGATGTTGACAACAAAATGTGTAGCTTATTTTTGTAAGCCACAGTTTTTTTGTTTTTTTTCCACTCTACGTTAAGTTTACGCTGACTTATGTATTAATAGGTTTCTTACTCGGTTTGATTTAATTAGTCATTAAGTAATCCAGCTTTTCCTAGATTTTTTAACATTGATTTGTAAACTAAACCTTGATTGTTCTAAAACATGTCAGTATATTTATGAAACGTTCATCTGATGTATTTGTGTCACTATTGTTATAGACATTTCCCCCTGATATTTTACTAAGCTTATTCAGAAACTTTTTATAATTAATTCCGTTCGCATAGTAAAGTTCATCGAGGAAGGATTTTAGTGCTGATTCTATTTTTATTGAGCCTAGTAACATGGTGATCAGTTAATCCAAGATCACAGACCAATGATGTCGCTTCAAAATTTAGTGAAGGTTTGCTGTACATCTGATGAATATGAGCTGAAGAATTCATGGTAACTCTTGTTTCCAAGTTCACATGTGAGTCACAACTAAATTTTAACAGTTATTTTGATATTTGTTCATAATTATATCTACACAGAATATATTTATATCTCCAACCGTAATATTTTTTTTTAATTTGGTGATAGAAATCAATGAACTTCACTGCTGATTACTATAAAATCTATCAAATGAGGTGATGTTAAAATGTCTGCATCAGTTGAAATTTTTGTATTATAGATTTTATTTTTAGATGTCAATTTGTTGGCTCTTGTGACAATTTTTGCTGTAAATGCAGGAACCAATATGTTGATTTTCGTTACCATTAACATAGAATACCTTGTAATTCAGAATCTGATACAAATTGCAAAACTTTCACTACTTATTCATACATCAGGTTTCATGGTCAAAGAATATATAACTATTTCTGATATTTATATCTCTTACTATATGAAGCCTCTGGTAACACTCATCAATTCTCCTGATTATGAATGTTCTCACATAATGGTATCGACCTTGGGATATTGCTCAAGACGTTCTATGCTTGACCATTTATATTCATAAAAAATGCATACTTTGTTTATCACTTAAAGCTCTGTGATTGTGAATAACATTCTTTATTTTTGGGGCTACTCTACATGAAGCTCATGGGTCATTTTAAAGTTTTCTCAAAAATTACTTTGATTTTTTTCTTTTAAATTTCTTGTAAGAGTAGAGAGAAATACACTTAATAGGTGGCATGGGTCTAATTTTCACTGTTAACTCACAATTTTTGAAAATTTCCAAAGTTTTAATTTTTTTCGGCATTTTACCACTCCACAAAATTGAATATTTTTTCCTTCAAATGAAATTTGTTCTCCATCCTGCCATTAAGTTAATGTACATTTGATTGAAAATTTTAGTAATTTTAGCACCATTGCATAAATATGTGCAATATAAAAAGAAATATCGGAAACAAGAATTTCACAGGAATGAAAATTGTTTAAAATCGTTCTCCAAATGTTTCTTTAAACTTTTAGTAGGGTTAATGAGCAAATGACGCAGTAACATGAAAGAAATTTGACTTTCTACATTTGTTTTTACAAACATTACACTATTACACTTTTTTGACATCTCCCTCACCTATCCTACATCATTGAGTATATGTTAAATGGATTGTTACAGTTACAGTTGTCTCCTTGTAGAATTTCATGTTAAGTTTGTCAGGATATTTCCTTAAGTTATTAATGGTTAATGGATGATAAACTACGGTAATATGAAAAATCATATTATCATGATTCATCAATTTTGTTATTTTATGACTTACACGCTTCGGCCATTTGAATTAGGAAAACTGTCTTCACTATCCATGAATATTTTACTACAAATGATATAAAATGATGAACAGAAAATGAAGCTTTATGACTCACTGTCAGTGTCTGTTGTTCACTTACATTTTTCAACCACTTATGCTTTAGCGGTTTCTCTTTAGACAATTTAAATACTGAAGTAGGTAGTGCAATATTCCCTGTGGAGCCAAAACCAGCACAACCCCATAATACAGCGTTTCCAACTAACGCCCTTGAAATTCAATCACTATGTGAGTAGTACACGACGACAATAATGCCTTCATATATCATTCGATTCATATATCATTCATAATATCATTCGACTGGTGAATCACTTTATTACATAAAGTTAATCAGAACTTTGCTTCAGTGGTTGCCAAGATCATGTATTCCTGGTCATAACAAACATTGTTTAACAACGTTCTTGTTGTGGTAATAGTAGCGTAATTCGCCTGCCACATCTTAACCAGGCCTTACGAATACTTCTTAAGAAGAAAAGTTATGGAATCGTGCGCCAAGAATGGGCCAGTTATTGGCAGAAAAACTTATTGCCGGACTCTGGTACGGGTAACGAAAAAAATGATGTATCATGTTGCTAAATTTA